CCAATTTTTCTTCAATCAAATTATGTATGAGGTAGTTGAATTTTTAATTTTAATGTAAAACGTTGATCTAATGTTCTTCTACAATACATTTTAAATATAGGTCCATTATACATTAGAGCAAACACAAAAGGTCGAATATATTATTTGCTTTACGAAGAAATAATTATTGTACATAAAAGTTCTATGGCCTTATTTACAAAAGTTAAACTTTATTGCTTGGTACTACGCATTAATATCATATCTGAACAACACATGTAACATTGCTCTGTTACATTTATATATATATATTAACTTAGAAAATTGTTTCTCACAATTTATTTTTGTTTTGAACACCAAAAGTGGTAAACTAAGCTCCGCGTTCGGAATCGTTTTTCAAACACGATGATTTATCGTTGCGTTCAAATTTAAAAAAAATAAATTATAACGAAACATATTATATATTGTCTTGCGCCAAGGTGAACGAAATGAGACAAGAGCGCTCAACACCCAAAAGCCTCGTTGCCGAATCCGCTGCGTCCCATTATTTAGTTTTATTTATGTTTTATATCTTCACGGCATCTACTCGTGTATACATATGTATTAAATTGTCTCTTTGTTTTCGCCAGCGAGCAAGAAAATAAGTTATGCGTAACTTTTTCATATTTAATTTGGTGGTGTTCGCGTAATCCGAACGGGGTTTACAGAGAACCAGTTGCAACGCAACGCACATTAAACTTGCAAGGACTTGGTCGCTTGGTGTATAGATACGCACGTGTTAGTATAAAATACGTGTTCTCAGTAAGACGGTCTTAAACATTCACATCGATTATGTGTACACAACTTACACACCGACGCGACGTGGTGAATTTCACATATAAGGTTTCAACTCGTTCCGTGCGCGTTGTGTGCAGACGATTAATTTTTTTGAGTTAATTCGTTTTGTGCATCGACACCGACTTGTGGAACGGGAATATCCTCGAAAAGTGTGGGCAAACATTTACTCGTCTGTATTGTACATAATGGGTATGCGATCCGCGCGGTTTTCGGTCTACGAGGTTTCGACTTAGTGCTGCGTGTACAACGAAATGAGATTAAAAGAAAACGCGTAATAGGTGCCTGGGAGAGTATTAGATGTAACACGACAATATATGCTTACAGTATAAACGCCGTGACTCTATAGAAGGGGTGGCGAACCTATGGCACGAGCAAAAATTGAAATTATTAAAAATTTTACACAAAAAAAAGAAATTATACTGTTTAAAAAATGTTGATTATAAGAAACTAAAAAAGACAAATTATATATTTTTTTATATTATTTATACTTTATTTACATAATTAATTATATAATATTATAATAACTATAATTATATTTTATGTATTTTAAAAATTACAATATTCCTTATGATTTCATATTTGTCGTCAACTTATGTTTGTGAAAGCCATAACGAATTAAATAAAATTGAAGGAAATACATTTTTCGACCAATAAAACGATTGCTGCTTGTGTTCCATTAGGAATTACAAAAATTTAATAAAAATAATGTAATATATCAGTAATTTTATTTTTATTCTTAGAAAATATTATTTTCTTTGGGCACGTGAACGATTTTCAAATCCTTAATTTGTAAAATTTGGCAATTGAACCAAAAAAGGTTCGCCACCCCTGCTCTATAGCATGTCGTTCAGCTATTTCTATGCGCTTTAATCCGTTAATAATCAGTTTTTTTTTTTTTTTTTTTGTGAAACAAAGTCTTTATCGTAAAATTGTAAAATGGCTTTCATCGCACTTTTCCGCAACTGCCGTTACGGTCCGTCACAGCGCACGGCTATGTAGGTATACAATTGGGTATTATTGATTTCCATAAATATTAATTAACTTTTTTTTAGGATCCACCCGACCCTCGGTAAATGCATGTTGTTACGCTAGAAAACGAGTACGCGGTAAACGGTTATTAACGTTAACACGAATAAGAAATGTAGGTAGGTGCATATTTTTTTTTTTTTATTTTACGCGTACACAATGCACGTGATGGTCTCGGTCTGCGAGGTTTCGCATTTTAACGTGTGCGCTCTGGCGTGTACGGCGAAGGAACAACGCGCGATCTCGAATTTCACATGGTATTATTGTTGTGCACGTGCGAAATCCTATGGAAAATAATCGAAGCGATTGGCGAGAGAACGAGGGAGAGAGAGCGATAGAACGACCCGAATATTTCAGCTGCATGCGATTATGATGCACCGGCGGATCCGGTGATGGTCGTCCAGAATCGTGTTGATAGCCGACGGCGGTCGCAACAACAACTTTTAAATGACTCGGCAAAAACTTCGGCACTCAATTATTACGACACGGTTATCAACCTATCGCATCGCCGCACCTCGGTATCGAATTTTCGGGTTTATCATATAATTAATACGACATTTTGTTTTTTTATTATTTTTTTTTTTTTTTCACTGATTACCGAATTTATATTTATAAAAGCTCATTTAAATACGATTCAAATGCATTGACAGCAGTTACAATAGTCTGTTCAAGCAACGTTTTAAGATTAATTTTACTAAAAAGTAATTTAGAATAATAGTTAGGTGAAAAAAAGAAAAATTGAAACTTCGGAAAGAAAGAATTACACGTAGGTGTACTGAAATCGATCACGGTTACAACCGAAGAAAAGTCCAACGAGGACTGTTGTAGATGTACGAAAAAAAAAAAAATGACGGTTTCGTGTTTTTGTTGTTCAGTTCGTATGCGAGTACGGTTCGGCGGGATAAAAAAAAAAATGTGCCAAAACCGTTAGCGTCTCGTTGAAAAATCAAAATCCACTCGACGACCACTCGTTCCGCCGCGGGCACCCGTTCCGCGCACTGGCACACACGTCGACGCGCCATTTATTTATTATTTATTTTCCGCGGCGAGGAGCTGACGGCCGATTTCACGTTTACGAGGACAAATGCCGCGGCCTAGCGTTTTGTTGTGCGCTCGCCAACAACCGGACGGTGATCGGATAATAAAGCGATGTGCGGTGGAATGACCGGCCGCTGGTGTTTTCAGATCCGCGTGGGACACGTTTGACACGGTAAAACGCCGTTTGGCGTGTTCGTCCAACGGCGGATAACGTATTACGCGCGTACAGCGTAACATCGGTCGAATCGATGGGAAATCGAAAGCTATTGCACTGCGAGCGGCGGGACCGTGGCCGGATTTGAATTTCAAGTACCGATCGAACTACCCAACCGATTCCCTGCGGTGGGTACGTAGGCGGCACCGAAAACGACGTACTCGAGTGCAAGTCGAAAAAGACGTCGCGTCCGTCACAGCAGCCGCAAACGACAACAGTGATCGTTTAAGCTCGCTCTTGTTAGAATACACGTCCAGGGTTGAGGTCGAAATATTGCTCGGGATAAAGCTCTCTCGTTTAAGCTGTAAACATTTACGTTCTGCAATTTATCTCCGCCCTCCCTCCACGGGCATTTGGAATGTTTAGAAGCCGTTTGCAATTGGGTGAATTTTATACTCGTCATACACTTTTAGGTACCTAAGCAAATTTATTTTTCACCAGGGTCTCCACATTTATCGCTCGGGTGAAAATTATTTCGTTAGATTTTGTATGCATTACCATAGGCGTGGACACGAGTGTGTGCACCCCGTATTTTAACTGATGTGGTCAAATTAAATGTTATTTACTCAAAAATATTCGGTACAAAATAAATGATGTTTCGTTATAGAAAATATAAACTATACTTTCGTGCAAAGACTTCTCTTTTGACAATATAACAGCCACAATTGATCGCAAAACTACAAATCACAAATAGTTGAATCCATCTGAAAAAAATATACGAGATTCAAGGAATATATATTGATTGGGACCACGATATACCACAATATTAAACAGAAAATTAAAGCTATGTGTGGTATTTAATTGTTTGCTTATTATAATTTACCTGCACGTTTTGATAAGATAGGGCTCAAAACTATTGTCGGCACCTCCTGAATTACAAATCTGCGCACGCCTGCATACATCACAAACAAAGGTTTCAATATCGATTGTTTACTAATCGTTGCGCGCGTTTCCGCAGCCAAACATCAACAGTGATGATTTAAGCCTGCTCTTGCCAAAATCACGCGTGGTTGAGGTCAAAATATTTTTTAGAGATCAGCTATGCAGTCACCCGTGTTTAACGTTATTTTTTCCCACAGAATGTTCAATAGCAATTCAAAGTGTCGGACGGTCGAAGTAACGTGAATTTTGTTCTCATTATTTGTATTTTCAACCGATTGTATTGTTCGCGTACCGTCTCGACGTGGTACGATCGGTCAGACGACTAGTACTCGAACTCAACGGCGCAACTTGGGTAGGTAGGGGTTTGGGGGTGTTGTATAACTCAAACTTACCCCAATTTTTTCACATAACCCACCCCCCTCCCCCGACGAGAGTGAACCCCGGTCGCGCTGCTGTTCGAACGCCGTAGGTACCTACAACGTTTGAGCGTCCGAAGGAAACAACACTTTTTTTTCTCTGGACCGCCGGCGGCGGCCATGAAAGCCGTTTAACGATGAACCGCTGCGATCGACCGTCGTCGCGCGAACGGGCAGATAAATACCAAAAGGTACCGATGTCCGTTCTGCGGGTCAAGTATATCGCGCGCGGTGGTCGGCCAGGATACGGATTCTCCGCGCGCGCGACGGGGGTCGGGGGGGAAAAAAAAAAAAAAAGGTGAAAAATCGAATTTCGCACGCGCCACTGGTGTGTCGTACCCTGTGCCGCGCTCGGTACCCGTCCGCGTGCGTTCCATCGGCGAAGGGCTCGGGCCGACGGCCAATCGATCGGAATGCAAGGGAACCCGTCTCGGCCGCGGCCAAAACGGCACCGTCGACCGTTGCACGCGCTCGTGAGACGGACACCGCGGGGACGGCCGACGTCGACGCATTGCTCAGCGGCATCTAGCGCAGCGCCACGTCGTTACCGCCGGTGCGCACCACTTTCGTATCTTCCTCGACACGAACCCACCGCGGTCACGCGCGTTATACCTAAGCATTATCTCTATCATCGGCGTGCGACGATTGACAACGATCCGCCGACCGACTCGACGCCAGATCTGTCAAGTGGTCCGTTTCGTATTACACGTTCTTCTCCGTGGATCTTGGGCCCCACCGTTGCAACGGCACCTAATACGAACCACTCTGAAATCTAGAAACCCGGTGAATAATCTGTTCGATCTGAGTAAACGAAAATAACTGTTTTATCTTCATCAAAACGTTGTAGTTTTTATTACCTTCTACGATTTCAGTCGAGGTTTCGGCAAACTCCGAATTCTCGAACTCGTCGATGTATCAACAAAAGTTCTCAAACGCTAATCGTGATATTTTCGATACTATTTCCGGTTGACGGCAAGAGTTCAGTGCTTTTGTTGTTCTGTCTCCGTGCCGGTTCCACTGAATTCCGGAACACTCGATTTGTCTCCTCCACTGTCCCAACGACTCCGGTTAGTGCTACGCATTGCGTTTGAAAAATATACCACCTCTGACATACTTACTGGTACTTAAGACCATACTGTGTATGCTTGCAAATACTCAAAGTAAGTGATATATAGTTTTGCGAGGGTACAACTAAATATTTTTTTTGTATTATTTACGGTTCATTATTCAGAATAATTTATGATGATGGTTTATCAGTTATTCGTTGTTGTCAAAAGTATCATATACAGTAGCTGATCTGATGGGAATACCTATATCAATTTGGACACATTTTGGAATAGCATCAGTGATTGGTATCCTAGAAAATTTCATTTTTCTCTCAAATGATGTATGTGTTGTTACTTTAATCATATGTGAATAGTAAGATAACTTCCACTGCATACAATCTATAAATTTTAACGATTCAGTCAAAACTTGCAGGATGAATGTTTTAATAATATTGCCTAAATACCGAATCAAACGAAAAATGGCAGAATAAGGAGCATAAAAGATCCTGAGTTATATTACTTGCCTGAGTGTGCACCTACAAGTGTAACTGTTCAATAAGCTTTAAATAAAAGAGCAATTTTTCATTTCTTCTACAATAAACACTTACTATCAGGGAAGATATTGGGAAACAGTCATTTTTTTAACTTAATTTTTTCTATATTTTCTTAAATTTAAAAATATACACCTAATAAAATTTCATAAATATGTATTATAATGAAAAAAAAAAAAAATCATATTATAACTAAAGTATTATGCTTATAAACGATTTTAAGTATACATGTATATTAATTACAGTTCTATAAGATCAGTTCTTATTTTACCATTAGACAAATAAGGAGTATTGCCTTTAACTGGCCAAAATAATTGACTTTGATTTACAATTAAAATTTATTGTAATATTAATAGATTTTAACTGTTAGTAAAAATTTGAATAAACAATAATGGAATTTGGTGATAATAATAAAAAATGTTCATTAAATTGTAAAAATAATTAAAATTATAGCATAAGTATTAATACCATTTATATGCTGAGATAAAATGTATTAAATATATTTAATGTTTATAATTGTAGTGTTAAGAATAAATAAACATAAATAGCTTGATAAATAGCTTACCCTTGATGGAGTATTGAGATACATTTAGATTGCTTGAAATAAAACTATGAGTTCAGATTTAGATTAAAACTTATATTCAAATGATGTATTTACCCAATCATTTAAGAATCTTTTTTTTGTAAATTGTAAAGCACTTATACTTTCAAATTAAAGTTAAAATTATTCTAACTTGAGTATTCGTTACTAATATTTTTGTATGCAGATGAATTATTTCCATTTGTGACTAACTATACCTGGATTAAAATGTTGTACAAAATAATTATCAATGTTGATTTATGCCATAGTTTCAAATATCGATGCATATATATATATATATATATTTAATGTAATAATAAAATATAATTATTACATTGTGATATTTCAGAAACTTTAAATTGTATTTTTATTTTATAGATTAATTGGTATGAATGAAATTTTTCAAAGTTTTGTACAACACTATTCCCAAATTTTCAATAAAATGTACATCATAAATTGAACAGTCCATTGGTAAGTATATTGTGATCTACAATTTGTGTATCTCCATAATTTTATCATAAAATCATTCAACAATGAGATATCACTTGTTCCCTTTGTTATGTCATACATGAAGTATAGGATATTTATTTAATGCTCTTCATTAAGGGAGGCTACATGGTTAACAATAAGTTGTAATGACTTATTATTGTAGTTGTTGAAAAAATTATTATTTTTTTTAATTAACTAAAAAGTGTTTTGATTTATTTATTTATTTATTTTTAATTACTTTGAACTTTTTGCAATTTTCTTTAAAACATAAAATATAAAAAAATGTAACATAACAAATTTCACTTTTGATATTAATTATAATAAGTGAATAATTCTCTATATATTTATGTTTACCATGTAGTCACATTAATGAAGTACCCTAAGCAATTGTATTATACTGAAAATTCAACTATACTCATGGCTATAAATATTTTAACTGACTTGAATAACATTTGTAATTTTCACAGGGATATTTATTCATTACAAATCTGCGAAGAGTATCATCAGTCTTCGGCACACATCTTATTCATCTACTATTTTATTATATTTATAATAATATACATATCTTCTACTAATACTATAATATATATAACTTATAACTCTACAATAAGCGAAGTGTACTGTAAAATCATGTAGACACTACTATTAAAATATTGTTAGTAAATGATTAGTGTTTATATATCAGACAAATATTAATATATTGAGAATGTAGAAATTGAAAACTAAAAAATTATTCAATATTTTTTTTTTTTTTAATTCGCCATTACAGTAGAAATTAGTTTAACCGTCACTCTCTGTTATCCGTCATCAGTCACCGTCAAAAAAAAAGTTAATGATGAACTGCGATAAACTCGTCCCGGTTACTAACGTTTGTAATATCAATGCAATAAACGCGGCGATAACAAACAAATTGAATTTATCCAGTGACTGACGAGTAGCCTGTGTGTGCGGATTAGTGTTTATTAGGATTTTTAGTTTCTGTCGTGTTTCGAATATGACAGAAAAGCGGAAACGTGTTGTTTTAGGATTCAATCAAAAACTTGAAATTATCAAACGTTTGAAAAATGGTGAAAATGCTACCAATATTGCTCAGATTTATGGTGTTGGTAGAACAACAGTGAATGACATAAAACGTCATGCTGAAAAAATTAAGCAGCATGTGTTGCTATTGCAAAGCAACGATGGAGATGTAAAAAGTCGTAAAACCATGAAACCGGCAAAATATGAGCAACTTGACAACGTTTTGTATCAGTGGTTTATTCAAGCACGAAGTCAAGGAATTCCACTTTCAGGTCCTATTATAATGGCTAAGGCAAGCATAATTAATAAAAAACTAGATGGCGATCCAAACTTTAAAGCAAGTATGGGATGGCTTGATAAGTTTAAATTTCGTCACAGCATTCGACAACTAGATATTAATGGAGAGAAAATTGGTGAAAATAGCGCAGTTGTTGCTGAATTCAAGGAAAAATTCAAATCTAAAATACAATCTCATCTTAATCTCGTCAGAGAACAAGTTTATAACTGTGATGAAACTGGACTCAATTGGAAAACTTTACCACAAAAAACACTGGCATCATTTTCGGATAAAACAGCAACTAATTTTAAAGATCAAAAAGATCGGATCACTGTAATGGTCTGTGCGAATGCAACCGGCAATCATAAATTACCTTTGCTGGTGATAGGAAAATCCGAAAAACCACGTGCATTTAAAAATTTAAATTTGAATACACTACCTGTGAACTATTATGCACAAAAAGGTGCTTGGATGGATCTAACAATATTTATGGATTGGTTTCATAAAGTGTTTGTACCACAAGTAAAAGTTCATCTCGCTGAAAAGCAGTTGCCACAGAAAGCGCTGCTGCTTATGGATAACGCCCCAACACATCCCTCTGGAGAACTGAAAAGTGACGATGGCAATATAACATGTTTCTTTCTCCCAACAAATATTATCTCTCTTCTCCAACCTATGGACCAGGGAATAATTGAGAATATGAAGCGTCAGTACAGAAAAAGTTTAATCGAAAGTGTGCTGTCATCTGACAATACTATAGGTATTAAAGAATGTTGGAAAAATTACAACATAAAAGATGCCATTTTCAATGTTGCCAGTGCATGGGCTGATCTGACTGTACCAATTCTGAAGAATGGGTGGAATAAACTATGGCCTGAAATAATACCTTACAAATCCAAAGAAACTGAAACTGTTAGTGTAGAAGAATTTGTAGAACTTTGTAATGAACTGAGCAGTGAAATATTGTCAACAAAAGAAGTAACGGATTGGTTAGAAAGTGATAAACAGGATGAAGGATTTGAAATTTTGAATGATGATCAAATTATTTGTAATGTTACTGCTGTTGACAAAGAAGTTGATGATGACGTCGAAGATTTAGCGCTTAACTTAAAACCGCCAATAAGCCACGCAGAGGCAGAAGCAATGTTATCAAAATGCATTGATTGGTTTGAGGTACAAGAGGAGGCAAATGCAACCCAGGTCTTACTTCTTCGTAAAATACGTAACATGGCCACTCAAAAAGCTCGTGCATCAAAAAAACAGATGACGGATTATTTTGTTTAGTATTTTTGTTATAACATCATATATTATTAGTATTTATTATTTATTATTTTTTTTTAATTTGTCTGCAAATGATATTGTAAAACATATGCATTTATTGATAAATTATGGTTTACATTATTATATTTCTGTTAACCGTTACTGTCCCGAAAGTTAATCAATATTCTACTGTATACATGTTTCAATTCAAATATTTCTGTATGAGATATTATTTATATTTCATATACAGCCATCATTTTCCCATTATATATGATACATAAAAATAATATATTAATTGTACTATAGATGTCTTCCATTGAATTTTTACAATTCAAATATATATATATATATACACATATATATATATATATATATATATATATATATATAGAGTCCTGGGGATTATATTAATCTATAAGATAACAGCCTGTTGTGATAAAATATTTTGTAACAAATATCATTTTGATAATAAAAATAAATTAGTTTTGTGCAAAATTTAATTAAAAGTATTTTCATGTTATTTTAAGAATAAAATAATGACTGGTTTAAATTTTAAGAAATTATTTTAGAAATTAGAAACTTATTAAGTTTATTTTGATAATGATAGTGGTCCCATAATTAATATAGTTCTTACAATTAATAAATGTTTTTAGTAAAACAGTACTATAATTTTATGAATCCATTAAACAATAACACAACAAAAAATAAAAAATGGATAAATTAATTAACAATCCAATTTTATTTCTAATTTTTCAATCCTTTTACAAACAAGATACATAATTTTAATAACCATGACAGTTACATAACTTCTGATACATTTTTTCTTTATTTTACCATATATATCCAATAATATACTAAAATAAACAGTATTCAAAATACGTAGCTTATAAGAACATTATTGATTTGGCAATAAACCATTTATATATTAATATACAACAAAAACCACTATAAGTTTTGTTTAAATAATAAACACACACTTGGGACAATTAATTTTAAATTAAATTTTTCCATAACACGGACTTTATCCCTATATTTTCTATATAAATCGCACAAATTATTTTATTAACCATAAAAAAACATTTATATACATTATAATTGAATAGCAGTAGCACAAATTAATTATTAACTGAAAATTGAAATAAAAAAAGAAAATACTACTGATTAAACATAAATAATTTGACAAAAATAATAAAATAATTTTGACCCAATGTTGTGTGTATTAATAAAATATTTAATTGAATTTTAAAATGATTAATTTTTTTTACAAAGAAAACATGATACTTTCTGCTTGTAGAATAAAAAAATATAATATTTCTACTTAACTAATGGTATATCTAGATAAATAATTCTATATCAATGTTTATTAACTTGGTGTATTGTAAACATTCAGTCAGCTGTTAAATTAACAATTATTGACGATAATAAAACATTTTCATATAATATATTATTAAACAGGCTATTGTATAAAAAGGTTGTAAAATAAAATGATAACACTTAGATAATGAATAAAAATATAACCTAATGATCACAATACTTGAAAAAACTTTAAATTATATCACCAAATAAAGAAGATAAAGTACACACAAATAGATACAATATAATATGTGATTTGGTGATTAAATAATTAAAAATTAAAATATTTAATACGAACATACAAAAAGTATAATGCGCTGACAATTACATAAGTAAATAATAGTAAAATTAAAACACAATTATTAGTTATTACATAATTCAATAGTATATTTTATAAAAATTAATTCTAGGTATAAAAAAATTATTGTCACTGGATGTATTGATAAGTCTTCTAAGTAGTAATATTATAATAATTCAAGTCTATGAGAAACATTCAATAAAATTGGAAGAAAAAAAATTTACAAACTATAGCAAGTTCATTTTTCATCCACGCTCTGGAGTTGTATGAATCATTAAATTTAATTGTCCAATTAACCCCCACCCCGTAGCAATTTATCTAAAATAATTAATAAAGTAAATACATAAATTAGTCATAATATTTAAAAAAAAAACATCTATTATATCTATACGAAAGCAAAATAAATATCTGTTTGAAAAAAAAACAAAACTTAAACTTTTACCAAAAAAAACTAATCACAGCCTATAAATAAATAAACACTTCACCAATAAAGAAAATTCATAAATTACGAATAATAATGTAAAATCTAGGGGTTATAAAAATTTATAATTTGAAGAGGATTGAGCAACACAATGCAATACAAAGTACATTTAGACTTAACTAGAAGAATTATAAACATATTATTAAAGTACTCTTTTATTAAAACTAGTGTTAGAGTTGTTCGTAGTTATGAAGATATGTTGTTAATAACTCGAAATGTTAATATTCTAAAACGAGCATAATGATTGTTATTGGTCATAGCATGTAGTTGTTTTTAATTGCTATCCATTTTGGAAGCATTAATTTTTTCTTTAACCACAGCTAAGGAAAATAACACCAAACAAAAAAAATGAATTTAAATTTAAATAATTTATAACATTTTTACTGAGTTATTACCATCGTAATATTTTTTGAGGCTCTCTAATTGTTGATTACGAAGCCAAATATGAGGCCGCTTTGATACAATATTATCGATTGCTTGTTCAGGAGTCCAATTGTGCTTCTATAAATATAATAATAATTAAAATACTGGTGATAAACTTGTCAAACAATATTCTAAACTTTATAATATTATTTTAATTCAAATCTACATTTTATAAAATAAAGTTTAATTCAATTCATGTTAAATAAATACATATTTATACACATACAGACATCAAATAACAGCCTACAAGGGTAGCACTACGAGTTCGACCTGCCTTGCAATGTACATAAACAGTTTTTCCATCTTTTGAAAATGATTCCATTATTGATACCCCTTGAATTAATTTTTCATGTGATGGTGTTTCAAAAATATCCCTTGTACTCAACTGGCAATGTTCAACTCCCATTTTATTCCATTCCTAAAATAAAATAACAATTAAGGTAATATAAATTATTAACTTACATAATACTATTTACTGTCCACTATCTTTTTATAAAAAATCATTTCCGTTTTATAATATTATAGATCATACTAATACAAATTATTGCACTTTATATAATATTAATATTTTTAACATAAATATCTTTCTATTTGAATTTTATCCAAATTAACAAAAATCATAAATTAAAAATTGAATTAACTTTTATTAAATTCATACATACTCTATAATATATTGTCACTTTTATTTATTGTAAATACATTTTATAAATTATATAAAAAATAAATAACCATCTATAAAACAAACTACAGAATATATTTTTAATTAAAACATGATTCTAATTTTGATTAAAATTAAAAATAAATTCTACAGAAATCAATGCTAAAGGTTAATAACTGAAAAAATATTCCTTAATAGAAACTAAAAACCAAAATAAATTATTTAAGTAGAGAATACAATTTTACTTATTTTTAATATTGATAATATTAAACTACTTTCATTATATATTTCTGTAACTAACTGTAACTGTAACTTTCTGAATGTTTGTTTTAATTAATTTAAAAATCTAAAACACCTTTTTCCATTATTCATATTAAAATCCAATAAAATAAAATAAATAAAAACCACTATGTGACAAATTAAATTTAACAAACAAAAATTATACATATAAACACTACTAGTGAATATTTGTGTAAATAAAAAATAAAATAAATTCATTATACTATAATATATAATGATAAATAATATATTAAAAACAAAATTGTTTATTTTTAAATAATTCTAACACAATAAAAAAGTATAAAAAATATTTATATTAATAACAATAATAATTAATAAATATAATTTTAATCAATATATAAAAATAAATGTTCATATTAAGAAGTATTATTGCATAAATGTGCAAACCTTTACAAATAATTTTGATTTAAAAAAATAATATGATTATTCAGTACAAAAATGATTAATAACCTTCATTTTTTATTTATTATGTTATATGTATATTAAAACATGAATTGTTAAATTATGAAAAAATTATTAAAAATTATGAATTGTTCATAATAACTAACTGAATATATTGCAATATGTCACATATTACTAAAAGGCTTTTTTATTCATCTTATCCATCTTATATTATTAACATTTATGTACAAAGGTAAAAAATGTATTTGATTAATCATATGTTGTTTATATGAATAAAAAAGAAAATATTGAACTTTTAGTATGAAAATGATAAACACTGATAAAAATAAAGGTGAACTTAATAATTTAGAAAACAATAGTGACAACAAAAAATGACTTTGTTCACCAAACAATAGTAAGAAAATAGTATTCTTGTGATAATTAAATAACAAGATTAATTATACAATAGGTTAACTATAAGAATATAAATAAAAGAAATTCTACATTATAGTATGACAAAAGGTTACACAAACTTATACTCAAAAGTGTAAAACAAAACTTACATCTGGTTGAGGTGTAAAATGTTCCAGTTCATAAGATTCATTCATTGAAATTACACATCGGACATTTTCTTCATCAATTAACTAAAAAATATACAATTATTTTAATAATTATAAATTATTCAAATATCAATTAATTCATGTAAAACTAACTTAAGGTGATTAAAAACCTCATTGTAAAACCAAAATGTAAACACTATGTCATTACACACAGTGTTAAAATATTGTAATAAATGAAATACTTACTTTTTGACTGAGGTTCCTAAAAGGTAATGCACCTAATATAACATTTTCATCAATTCGGTCATACCAGTTACGCTGAGTAACCTTTTCCATAAATACATTATATAAAAGCGTTGGATAAAATGTGACACGAGCAAACATTGTAGGATAGATAGTCTGAAATCAAAAATAAAATCATTAGTAATACAATTTTTCAAAAGCTTATGAATAATGGAAATGCTTGTATACATATATGGAGATACTTCATCTAAAAATATCATATTTGTATTTGGTTTTTATAAAAGCTGAATAAATTAATCAGTAGATGTTAAAACAGAAATATCGTATATGTAACATATATTAAAAATATATTTGAAACTTCACCTATGAAATTTTGTATTAAACCTAATTCAATTAAGTTATTCTCTTCAAATGCGGTCATATTTTGAAAGATTAAGGAACAATTTAAACGCCATGAAATTTCAAAATAGTTTTTATCGACCATAGGAATAACATGTAAGGGTACAACATATGGATTTATTTTGTTGATTTAGATGTTAATAATAAGCGGAAAAACATTTCAAGTCTAAGTTTGAATATCGACTGGCATTAAATGTATGCTTAAGTAGGTCATGAGAAAAAATGTCAAATCATCAAGTAATTACTAACATACGTATCTACAGACCTAATTGAATTAAAACTAAAGTGTTTAAAATGTTTGAATCAAACATGCGACGAATAGAAATATTTCAGAAAGTACCCATCGATTTCTGGAATGACCAAAAAATCTATCCCAGGTATATCTACAGGACACGTAGGCAAACGGGGCCAATCTGTGAAAGATGGTGACACCAGGACGAACACAACGTGACGTGGACCAATTTACAGGACTATTAGGAGACCGTTGTTCGTGGGGCGCGATTCGACGACGGATAGGTGGTAAAATAAACGAAACGAAAGACAGTACTCACACGTGGCGGCTAGTTCCACCGGACGCTTCAGTGACGTTTGCTGTGTCGTCGTCGTCTACTCACCGGTCGTGGAAAGTGGTCCAGGGCGACGCGAGCGAACGCGGACCGTATGGGGAAAAAAAAGTAGGTCTACGGTCGCGACGCTTTCGGAAGAATGCGAGGACCGCGGCTGCTGGGCACTGATCGCGAACGGGTGTTGGGACGACGCGAAAAATCGCCGAGAAAATAATATATGAATGAAAAAAAATATCCGTAGGACGAGAGAAGATAATTATTATTATTATTATTATTCATAGGTGTTTATGTGGGTCAAATGTTTCAGTGCGGTTATCGTACGCCGACGTTGTGATGCCGTGTGCAGATAGCGCCACACGGACGTCCCGAGAATGACGCGGCGGCGGTAACTTCCAGTTTCGCTAAACGGAACCGTTCGCGCCCGGTCTCCTTTGTCGTCCCGACGAAGCTCGCGCGCACGACACAGCGGACCGGTGATGGATGTGAACGTTTACGACGATTTCTAGACGAAATGGCGTAGCAGCGGATCGACATCACGAATAACGACCGTACGAAAGGAATATGACATTGGAACGTGAAGCATTGTTGTACACCGTGACAGACGCGCAACGAAGAATTTCAAACGGGGAGGAGGTAGTTATTCAAAATCAATCGACAAAATCATACCCATCGAATCACTACGGCATGCTTTATTGTTCAATCATGCAAATCCATTATTGTGATCGTAATTTATGTTTCGTTAACGATAAATATGTGTACACCCCGGTTCAGGAGCGCACCCAGGAATTTTTTATGGGGGGGGGGGGGGGGCGAAATTTTTTTTTTTTTTTTTATGGGGGGGTAAAAAAAACACACTATCTGGATGATCATTGGAGTGTTAATTTTTAAAAAACACTTTTTTTTACTAAATAACGAATTCCACAAAAAAATTAAGATGAGAAAAAAATAAATTTTGCGCGATAATATCTAAAAAATTACAAAATTTTCTCTAAATTTTGAGCTTAGAGTGCGCCCTCTTAATCATATATAAAGCTCAAATTTTGTAGATCTTATTTTTAGACCCATAGGAAAAAATTCCCAGGCGGCACTCCTGGAATTTTAAGACTTCAAAAATACTGGGCATCCTAATATATATATTTAGCGACTTATCAATCTTCCGGCGAGATCATTACGCAATAAATTCGGCCACACCAACAAGTAGATCAGAAAAATTCAATTTTTCAACATTTTCTACGCATATAATTAATCCGTCGATCTGCCGCCGTTGCATTGTGCAGGGATTTAATTTTGTACAATAACTCGAACAGAAAACGTTTTTTAACGTGTGATTTGAAACTACACAGTTTCTGTTATTATCAAGGCTCTGAACTTTAGGCATTTGCATATTTGTCTAGAAAGTGCATATTGAAATTCTGATTCGATACAAATTCGATTCATAGTATATGTATTTCAGATATAAAAAATTTTGTTACATAATTTTGCATATTTTATTATTTTTTGTATCAATTCGCATATTTTGGGTTTAAGAACATTTATATTCATATTTCATGGATTAAACAACATTTTTTAAAAAAAATGTATAGTTTAATAATAAAATATTAGATATATGACAATCAAAATTCTAAGTTTGATATCGTTTGAAAAAATAAATTAATTCATCAACGGCTATTATTTGTATTGCTCCGGCTCCAAATGCACTTAACAATAATATTACAATCTTTATAGTACCGTATTTATTTTTATACAAATTTACCTCTGTATTGATTATTTTGTAACATGACATAAACAAACTGTATAACCATAGGCAATTCGTAAACAATTATGGTTATCAGGTTGTACACATTATTATTACTGTTCGTTATAATACTGCATACATCTGCATGCAAGCGACTTCATTGTACATTGTACACTATTTAGTAGTCCGTCTATTATTTTTTAAGCAATTATTTTCCAATTTTCTACTGCATATTATACCGCATATTTTGATGTTTTTTAACGCATATGTATGCGTATATTTTAATACTTTTTAGTGCATAAAGTTCCGAGCATTTGTTATTATATTTTCAATGCAATTTTCTACTTGACTCCGCAATATCTACACATCGGATATATTGGTATGCTCAGATCTGTACTTCAGAAGGTGCTTAAAATATTTTTGTGTACTATCTTAACAAAACGTGTTGGTAAATTTAATAAATTATAATGGACTCGTATAAACATAGCTCTAATTTTTTATTTAATATTGTCGTAAATTAGTCTTAATAAATATGATTTCCTTGGATCTCGTATATTTTTTACAGATAGCTTCAATTATTTACGATTTGTACATTTGTAGTCAATTGTAGCTATTATATTATCATAAGAAGTTTTTGCATGAGAATTTAAAATATTAAGTTTTATTTCATCTATTAACATGTATGATTTGCTTTTACCAAATATTTTAGAATAAATTACATTTCGTTTGAAAAACAACAGTTAAAATATAGGCCCCTAACTTTTAGACTTAAATTATAGGATGTCATTTACAACTCTTTCACCCCCCCCCCCCCCGTGCGCACACTTATGGCATATTAAAGATGACAAATGGGTTATTTATTTGTTTACGTAAATAGCAAATTTTTTAGTAATGTAAAAAAAAAAAAATAATTAAATAAATAATGAAAGAAAAATTTGCAAAAACTTCAAAAAGGTCAAATTTTAATATGCTAATCTATGTTGACAGCAAATATTCTGTTAAACAAGTTGACATAAGTTTCAGATTTAAAATTAACAATTGATAAAGATGGAAAAATACGTACAAATACGCAGTTTATAATGAATAATATATAAACTTCTTTTTTTTTTTTGAAGTGATACGTTAAAAAGGTAAAATATAACTATAAAAAATTAATGGATAATTCTTGTTAATTTGAAAAAAAATTTTAAATTTTTTTCAAATAAATATATTTTAAGTATATGATTTTAGAATTTAAATACACATAAATGTTTATTTTGAACTTTTAAAGGCATATTTTGCCAATTTTAAATCTGTATCTCCAATATAATTATTTAATAAATTATAAATAAAATTAACATATAATTATTTTCTTAATATGCATTTACTTTCAACAAAAATTCAGAGTTAACTTAGTTATTACATTTATTATAAAGTTTACGTAATAAAATTATTTTTAACTGTTTTAATTTTAATAATTAGATTTGATTGATAAGAATTCATCTTACACATCGCGATTTAATAAATTTTCTTTAATACCATTGGATTAAACAATCGGTGTGGGTACGTCTTCTAAATAAATATTGTTATTAGTCATTAGCAGGGTTGGAATTTTATAGCACTTGCATATTTCTTATGAGATGTTTAAAAAATAACAGCGTAAGCAAAAAATGTGTTTCATGATACAGAGAACTCAAATAAAAAATTTTATTTTGCTTCTTTTGCATATTTTGCATTTTTTAGTTTTTAGTTCTTTTTTTTTTTAATTTTTTGAACTTTTTTTGCATTTTACCTGTGTTTTAATCAAAATCGGGCATATTTCATGAAATTGTAAGTTGGTAATCGTAATTTTTGATTTTAAATTATTAATGTATAGATTAAGTAAATAGACCGATTACGCTGATGCAACGCTGTACAATTACAGCAATAATATATAGGTAGGTATAATATAATATTACGTTAATTTCGTTTTAGTTATATGGTTCTAATTTTTGTTATCTGCTGATTTTGTTGGGTTTTTTTCGATTTCTACTAATAAATCTACAAATAACCAATTATCAACGAACGAGTGTAGAATTCGTTTTATACAGTCCACATTCGTCTCGTTTGCTCGTACAAAATTATTAAATAATAAATTTCCTTTTTTTTTTGTCGCATATTTTGTTGTTTTTATTGCATATTTTTACAGCTTATTTAACGACTTTTAAGGTAATATTATAGTGCATATTTATGCAATTTTATGGGTCGTAGCCCATTCGGCTCCCGTTTTACAAAAAGGTCAATTCCCAAACGGCTACCGTCCAAAAAGGTCTAACGAAGAAAACCAAAAACGTTCTACCAATTTTTTTCATGCATTTCACTAGACATGTTAGAAAAATAATAAAAATAAATGAAGGCACACAATGACGTTGAATATCGCGAACAGACTGAAATCTGAACAAACTGCACAAATTGATATGATTGTGTGCCACATCGCAAAACTGATTAAATTGTATAAGTAAAATTATTATCATAGAAAAATAATGTATTCTATTTTTAAACTGGTTAGTCGCGGAGCGACAGCGATGATGACTGCTCATGTAGCGACCGAAATTTAGATCGCCGCGACCGGTTCAAAATCACTGGTCGCGGTCGCGGTCGCTCTAGCTAAATCGTACCTTAAGTCTGTATAAAGTGGGAAGGAACTTGTGGTGTACAAAACCGGAGCCGTTTAGGAATTTACCTGTTCGTTAGACCTTTTTGGACGGAAGCCATTTGGGAATAAGCGAACAATAGACAGGAGCTGTTTGGGATCCGACGATTTTAAGTGCTATAAAATTCCAACCCTAGTCATTAGTAATGACTAGGCTTAGGGACTTCTAGCATTTGCATACTTTTTTTAACTATTGTTAAAAGTAGCTGAGTACGAAATAAATTCGTTTCTCGGTGCCATGATATCGGATCTAAAATTTGAATGTGCATATTTTTGCATATTTGATAGATTTTGCAGGAGAGTGCATATTTTAAAATTGTTATGCTTATATTGCATATTTTGACAAATTTTTCAAATTTAAAATTAAGATTATAGATACATATAACTTATATACTTATATATACTTCAAACGATCGAAAAAAAATGTACTAAGAGAAATATGCTATCTGCAATTTACCTCTCATATCTGGTTATAATTTTTGTGTAAGTATAAATATTACTATAAACCCCTATCGATCCTATAACCCGCTGGATATCGACCGAATGTCGATAAAGATAATAGTCGATATAGAATAATAGATTATTTATTTAGTTTAGTTGATTATTATCCGTTGTTGTTTTTGTTAACCACGCAACGTCGAATCATACGTAAAACGTCGTACGGGTATATTTTGTAAAATTGTGTAATGCCGAAAGTACAACAATCTACGAGTAGCTGACTACAAAGTATTGTTTTGGAGTTTAAATATACATTTACATCCGATGGACACATTTTATTTTGTGTACTAAGTGATCATTTTTTTTTTTTTTTAATGCATATAAATGCATATTTTAATGATTTTAGAAGCATATTTGCATGCATATTTAAGTATTTTT